AGCAAAAAATATAGGTTTTTTTTGGTGTGCCGCAGAATTTTAGTAATTAGTGTATGTGTGTGCCACGGGATGAAAAAGATTGAAAACTGCTGGCCTAGCGTGATCTCTCTCCCTTATGAGATTGTCGGCTTGGTTTTTGTGGTTAAAAAACCATAGGTACTGTTCTGTAAGTTAGAAACCTGGAAGTTTCCAGGGAGAACTGTGGCGTGGTGTGTCCCGTTTCCTTTCTGCCCTCCAGAAGGAGCGATTTCTCCCCGGTTCCCACCTGGTCTAAACTTTCTACATTTCATCGGTCATCCCATCAGAGAACTCAAAACACTTCCCTTGAGCCCTGGCCGGTTTGGCTCAGCAGTTGGAGCTTTGGCCTGCGGACCAGAGAGGCCCGGGTTCGGTTCCTGCTAGGGGCACGTACCAAAAAAAAAAAAAAAAAAAAATCACTTTCCTTAAAATTCTATCAGAAAACACTTCAGTTTTGAAAAATCAACACAAGTCCTAAAAGACTTTTGGTGGTATCTATGTATGTGAAACAAAGTGGCAAATCCAGAATGCCCGAAAATTACTGTGGGTTGTCTTGAAATATTCGTTTACCTGAATGAGAGGAGGAGTTCTGGATAAAATGTTTCAGCCACAGAAACCTTGCCTCTCTAGAGCATGTTAGAGACACAACTGAAAGCTCTCTACGTTTTAAGGAAATGAGTTTAAATGTTTTTAGCAGCTAGTCTAAGGCATTATCTGTTTTGAGAGGGAATTCATTGGACAGACCTAGGTTTTCCATGTCTGGGTGAGAAGGAATCCACTGGACAGATCTGTGTTTTCCGTGTCCAGGTGAGAAGGAATTCACTGGACAGACCTAGGTTTTCCGTGTCTAGGTGAGAAGGAATCCACTGGGCAGACCTGTGTTTTCTGTGTCCAGGATATGTGAGGAAATGAATATCCACCTGAGCTTCCTCAACAGTATGGCTGTTCAAACCATGAGAAATGGCCAAGATAAAAATAACTTCAAGGAAATGATTTGCTTTATTAGGTTAAGATCACTCTTTGGACTACAAGGAATTTCACAGGGATTTCAGTGGAATTGTATAACTGCAGAATTTTCATAAGTCTCACGGAAAATTTTATCATTCATTTACATTTTCTTGCAAATACTTACCAAGAATCAGTAATTTGTATCAAACTGTCCAGTGAGTCTCTACTCTTGTGACTCGGAATACTCGCGGGCCTGGAGAACAGCTGGAGCATGTCCCCAAGGCTTCTCAGGCACCTGTCTGTGCCTTCTCACACTGCCGTTAGGTATGTAAGAGCCAGTTACTGACAACAAGGCCTGCCCATGTCCAGCCAGGCATGGCTTCCAGATTATTCTTTTGATCTCAAACTCCCTAATCTCTCTCGGCTCCTTCCCCCCAGTTCCATACTTGTTTTTTTGAATCCCACCAATGGCTCCCCTTAGTTTCTTGAATTATTTGAGCTTTTACAAACCCCCATTTATGACTCAGATTTTAGCTTCATAGGGGCCTTTGACTTCAGTGTCTCCTGAAACTTTGAGCCGGGGACAATCTGCTGAGCCCTCCCTACAGGAACCCTGAACTGCCTGCCGGGCTAGCCAATTCACTAGGACATGAAAACTATAATGGGCAACGGTCATTTATTAGCAAATACAAGATTAGGAGCAAGATGCATTTCATTTTAGGTTTTGGGAAAACACTTAGGAAGAAATGCTATAAAATCTACTTCGAATACCTGAACAACGGTGTAAGATTTGCCAGAAATAGTCTTTCTAGGAAAACAGTTTTCTAAAAATCTGTAAACCCACATAAGGAACCCTTGATCAAAGCCACACACTAAATTTGAGTGTTGGTTAACCACAGCATTAATTTGCTTTTTCTCCCATGAAGACTGAAGATCCAACCCACCTGGAGTGCAGGGCAGGTGTACGAGTCAGGGCGCCGCTTTTCCACATGGTCTGTCTCACGCGGCTGCACTTGACTGAACAAGCCCCTTAGCCGCTCTCTAACCTCAACAGCTGTTTGTGTTCGAGCTCCAATGCAGCTAGAGAGTGTCAGGTGGACACGGCTCTAAAACGTGCAAAAATACTTCTTCAAGGCTTAAAAGACTAACGCAACTATGGTACTGATACTTTTAAAGACAGGTTACAAATAAGTTGAAGAGTATGCAATTCTTAAACTGTCATAATGTTAACAATTCACTGTTAATTAAAATACTTTATAAACATTGCCTGAAATATTTTCTTTATTTTTTTGCAAATGATGAATGTTTTAAAGGTCATTAATATTAATATCATTGTTTCAAAAAACTGTGTTTATAGAAAAAATATTGTCAAAATTCTTCTACCAATTAGCGAGTTGTTAACATACATGCGCACCTGGTTTTGCTGAGGGTCACACAAACGGCACACTCTGTTGATGCAGGTGTCTCAGCAATTCAGGCACAGATGGCATTTGGGGCATTTGATGCCCCTCCATGCTTCTTGCATGTTGATGCCAACACTGTACCAACATGAGAAGCTGCAGGCACTAGCTTTGGACATGGTCCTGTTTAAAAAAATAATAAAGCCCTGGCCGGTTTGGCTCAGCAGTCCAATGGGTCCTGGTTCAATTCTGATCAAGCGCACGTACCTCGGTTGTGGTTTGTCCCCGGCCCTGGTTGGGGTCGTGCGGGAGGCAGCCTCTTGATATGTCCATTTTATGCCCATGTTTCTTTCTCTCTCTCTCTCTCTCTCTCTCTCTCTCTCTCTCTCTCTCTCTTCCTCTTTCTCCCTCCTACTCTATCTGAGCATAAATGGAAAAATGTTCTCGGGTAAGGATAAAAACCAAAAATAAATAACATCCTATTTCGAGCAAAAATTCCTCTAATGTTTGTTACTCTCGGACTGTGCTCAGCCCCACGTGAAGTTTGGCACTGGATGTAGCTACCTCCTTATCCATAGTTACGTTCGATCTAGCAACAGTCCTCAGATCTGTCAACTGTGAGCTTGAAGAAAAGCTCCCTTCAAAGCATGTTTCAGTTTCATATGACTCTCAGAGGATCAAATTAGTCCTTATCTAATCCAAGCTGCTCGTCCCATGCCTTCCTCTTGGCCATGGTTCTTATTTATCTCCTTTGCTTTGAAAACATCTTGCTTTTTCCTAGGCAGCCCTTGCATATCGTTCAACATGGATGCCCACACAATACTGTACTGGGTACAATGCGTAGGATGAGGTCTAGGGCACCTTCTTGTACACATCCAAGGAAAAGGAAGAATAAGTCAGGTCAAAAGGCTCTATTTCCCAAGGTACTAGGAAAGCCTCCATGTCCTCTTGCATGTAAAACACCACCTAGCAATCAGGCTCCGGTGTGTGTGTGTGTGTGTGTGTGTGTGTGTGTGATATATTATGTATGCCCTTCATTTAGCAGTAACACTCTTCCACCTCTAATATCAGTGTTTTACAAGTGCTAATGGATTGATGCTGAGTTATCACCTGCTAGAGCTAATAATCTGACTTGAAAAATCATAGTTCATAGCCCTTCTTTCTTTTAAGTATATCATAAACGCAGAGATTTATAGGGGCCTATTCTCCATGGAAGCCACTTTAGACCCCTAAAAAGGTGAGAACACCTATTAAAAATGGATTAAATACATGCACACACATTCTGAGGACAAGTGATAAGGGTGTGGAAGCATTCGACAGCATGAAGAAAGAGATTCTTGGCTCCAGGATTGGAAGTTGTAAAAGATGAGGTCATTAGGATGAGGTTCAACTTCAGTAGTCACACTAGTAAGGTTAGATTGTGTGCTGGTGGCTAGAGCAACCTGAGATTGTGATCATTCGTGAAATGGAAACAAGACAGCTTTCTAGACAGCGCTGTGGTCAGATCTGCAGGGAGCTAGAGGGCGAACCCAAAGATCAGTGTCTGGCGTGCTGGCCCTGTCTCCAGGCTGGTTAGAACATTCCCGTTGTCATGTGCAAGGTCCCCCCAGAATCCGCATCACAGTCATCCCGGACGTCAGCACACTTTACAGGGTTTCAAAGGTCAAGCTTCTGCTGGGGATGATGTCTCTTGCAGTGGTTCTCAACCTTCCCAATGCTGCGACTCTTTAATACAGGTCCTCATGTTGTGGTGACCCCCAACCATAAAATTATTTTCAATGCTACTTCATAGCTGTAATTTTGCTACTGTTAAGCCTTAGGTGACCCCTGTGAAAGGGTCGTTGGACCCTCAAAGGGGTTGCGACCCCCAGGGTGAGAGCCCTGCTAGGGGAATGTACTATGGAGCCTGTTTCACTTCCTGCTGCTCCCCCAGCATCGCAATCCACAGGGGTCTGCCTGGCTCAAGTTCACGGGAGTGACCAGCAAGGCTGACCTGAAGAGGATCCCACCCCGGGACGCCACCTTCGTCCTGGCTCCTGCCTGCCCACCCGAGTGCTGGCTGGCAGGCAGTGTGGGCATTCGCCCCTTTCTGCAAGGGGAGGAGCCCCCGTTTGATGTGTATGCCCTGAGGTGCCCGCGCCCGATTCCATGTCCAACCTCTGCCACTAGTAACTTGAATGTGTTTGGTACTGATGCGTCTCACGATTTACACTAGGCCCGGCATCCCGTGGCTGCACGGGTCCCCCAGGGAGCAGGACTCGCGGGACGTGAGCGAGGCCGGTGCTGCTGGACGGCGGCCTCCGAGCGTCCTCACTCCCTGGACGAAGGGGCCGAGCTTCGCGGCGGCTTCTCCGGCGGGGACTCTTCCGACCGAGTGCACACAGTTGGGGTTGGGCGTGGCCACCACAAAGCAAAAGGGGGAAAAAAAAAGGTTATTTTTTTCTTTAAAAAACAAAAGCTGCAGCTCAACTTGCTGGCTCAGCAAATGCATGTCCCCATTACCATTCGGAAAACAACGTGCCTGGGCCGCCCTTTCCCCCGCCCTCCCCCGCCGACTCTACCACTGAGCGCAGACGGGGGACTGCACGGGACAAGGACTCAGCCCGTCACCGCCGGAACGTTGCCCCCGCCTGCGCCGGGCAGGACCCGCTCCGGTGTTGCGGGCCGACGGCGGAGGGGTCAGGGTCCGCTCCGCACCGGGTCACGGCAGGGCGGGCGCCGCACTTTGGCCGCGAGCCCGGGGGCGAGGCAAGCAGCGGGGCTAGAAATACCCGGGCGGCCTCGGCCCCGCGCGCAGAGGAGGCGCCCGGCCCGGGGCTTGTTTCTGTAAGTAGGGGCTTTGCTTTCCCAACACTTGATTCTCCCAAGCGTTTGATTAAATAGGGTGGTTTTGAGGCTGATAACGCGTTTCTTTCCTTTCGGAATAGATTTTAGAAGAGGTGGGTAAAGAAAATAAAAGTGGTACTGAGGAAAGAGCGCAGCCCTGTGCCACGGGGCGTAGTGGGGGCAGCGCGGCAGCGGGCACGTCCCCAGACAGCGGGCATGTCCCCAGGCGGGCGGGCACGTCCCCAGGCGGTGGGCACGTCCCCAGGCGGCGGGCACGTCCCCAGGCGGGTGGGCACGTCCCCAGGCGGCGGGCACGTCCCCAGGCGGGTGGGCACGTCCCCAGGCGGCGGGCACATCCACAGGCGGCGGACACATCCACAGGGCACATCCACAGGCGGGTGGACACGTCCACGGGCGGGTGGCTCTGCCCTTCTGCGCAGCTGAGCTCGAATCGGGAGCGGGGGAGTCGGGAGAAACTGGACACTGACCCTGCAGAAAGCTGTGGTGGTGTCCAGGCAATACTGCTCATGCAACACTGCTTGTGCAAGCTTAATACTTCCCACTGACACGCAGCGTGAGGACTCAGAGATGAAAGATGGCCATTCTGCAGTGATGTAGACATGTCTGGGGATATTGTGAGTAGTTTCAGGGGCAGAGTCGGGGGACAGCAGGTTTGGCACGCTGTGCAGAAATGGTCACCCCTGGAAGAGGTACAACCCGGTTCAAAGTCGGTGCTCTGGGACTAAGGGGCAGAGCTTTGCGGTCTCGGTGCGCAGTGGGTGCTTGCGGGCCAGTGAGGAGGACCCTCGGCGCCCATCTGAAGTTCAGGGGAGGAGGATGGAGAAATTCGGCGTACCCTGCCTTTTAAAGGGGACTTTTAAACAAATATAGGTTTGTATGTGGCCAACAAACCTCAGCTTTGTGATTAAAAAGTGGTGAGATGAGTGAATTTGTAAATACTTTCTAGTTGTTGTTGGATCAGCTACCAGTAAATCCAAGTTTGTTATTTATCTTCTTTACTTCTATGTAGCTGTCTGACAGCTGTAATTATAGTCAAAAGTCTATTATGTAAAAAAAATGATCTTAAATAAACACAGTTGAACAGCCTGTCGGTTATAATAACAGAGGAAAATCTTAAAGTGTGAACTCTAATTCACTACCCTTTGCCGATGGCTTGAGTCCGTTTTTTTAAATCAAAAGTCATTACCCAGCCATTTGGAACGTTATGCTGCATGGCAAAGTGAGCGTTCCAAGTGCTGAAGTTATGCTGAAGGCTGTGTAGTCACTGAATTGACAGTCTAGAAAAGGGATAAACTTAGCCATTCCAATACCAGACCAAACAGCCTGAATGATTTTAACGTTCTCTCTGCCATGGTGAGGCATAAACAAGCGAACAGAAAGTCCTGGCTGTAGTTGTTACAGGTAACCGACCTGAAACTACTGCTACATGACAGCAGCCGAGAGGTCGTGTTGGAAGTCAGCAGCACTGGTTTGAATCCAGCCTCCCTGGGGACTTGCTGCTGGGGTGGACTGGGGCCAGGTGCCTAACCTCAGCCATAGTTTCCTCAACTGCAAGGGGGTACATGTTCACGTAATGGTTGGGATTAATTGACATGATATTAAAAATGGCTTAGCACCCCCTGCATGTAGTGTAATAAATGCTCAATCAGTGGTAGCTATACCAAGGATAATTGAGAAAATACCGTGAATCCGTGCCTTTCCTCACCACCTCTCTCCAAGTCACCCATTGATCTGTAGCTGTCCGTTGAGAGAGCTAGCCCTAGTTTTGGGACTATTTCTGGCCAGATATTTAACTTTCCTACCAAGAGCAGGCATCTTTTTCATTTTATTAATTAATTAATTTTTGTTACAGATGTTTCTCCTTTTTACCCCATTGACACCTTCCTCTCGATCCCGCCCACCACCCCTCACAGCATTGTCGTCTATGGTCTATGTCCATGAGTTACACATATATGCAAATACATTCTCTGGTTTATCTCCCCCCCCCCCCCCCAGGTTTGTCAGTCTGAACTCTACTTCTGTGTCTCTGGGTCTATTTTGTTCATCACCTTATTTTGTTCATTATATTCCATAAATAAGATAATGTTATACTTGTCTTTCTGACTGGCTTATTTCGCTGAGCATAATGCTCTCCAGGTCCCTCCATGTCGTCTCAAAGGGTAAGGGATCTCTTTCTTACAGAGCAGGCATCTTTTACCCAAGAGTGTGCCTGTTTGAACCTGAAGAGCTGAGAGCTGAGCCACCTTCCTGTCGGTGGGCTGCCCTTCCTGCCAGCTTTTTTCCTGGGTTCTCTTTCCGTGCGGGCTCTTCTTATTTCCATGCAGAATCCCCGACTTGCCCGTTCCTTTCCCAAATTGTTCAAAGGTGGAAAGAAGCGATCAGAACTTGTGTATCTCAAAAGTTAAACCGTGTTTGCAGAATGTTGCTTAGTTATGGTGGCCAGAGTCTCAGGCTGTTTCTAAGTAGCATCTCCTGGAGAAGTGTCGGCCCCTGTTCAGGCAGACCTCCCTACAGTGCTCACGGAAGTATCTTGCAGAGCCGGACAGTTCAGAGGAGCTTTGACAACTACCTTGCCTCTGGCTGATCTTTCCACCTTTGAAGAAGTTGGTGCATGGAGGTCCAACATAATGAGCCCAACAACATGGAGGCAGAATCCACAGCTAGATATTATAGGAAAGAGAATTATATCTGCTGGATTTACAGAATTCCCACTTATGACTAAAACCATCTGTGAAGATGACAGAATGGCCCTGGCCGATTTGGCTCAGTGGTTGGAGCATTGGCCTGCGGACCAGAGAGTCCCGGGTTCGGTTCCCACTATGGGCACGTACCCCCCCCCCCCAAAAAAAAAGAAAAAAAGAAGATGACGGAATGCTTTTTCTCTTTTACAGGACAACCCCAGCGATGTGGAGAAGCCTGGGGTTTGCCCTGGCTCTCTGTCTCCTCCCCTGGGGAGGAACAGAGAGCCAGGGGCAAAGCTCCTTTTGCAAGCGACCTCCAGCCTGGAGCATAGGGGATCACGACCCAATGCTGAATTCCAGTGGGTCGGTGACCGTGATAGCTCTTCTTCAAGCCAGCTGATCCTTTTGCATTGTGCAGGCTTCTAGGTAAGACAGCCTTGCTGTGGCCTAGGGCCTTTGGGGAGACGCTATGAAACGCATGCATGCACATACAGAAAACAAAACAAAAACAGAAAAGATATATTTATGAAATCATATTTTTGGAAAAACTATCCACCCTTGCATAGAACATGCTAGAAGGAAACAGACTAGGAAGAGATACAACAAAATGTTTGCAGTGGTTTTCCTGGGACTATGTACATTTTTTCTTCTTTTTGTGGACCTATATGTTATACTGTCCTATTAAGTATGTATTACTTGTGTATTGAAAATGGCCTAAAATGTACTCCTGCAAATGCGTTAGTTATTTCAATGTTGCCAGCAAAGATGAAGACTTTGTCACAGTAGGAGGAACACTGGCCACAGAGGTCTTGGGTCATTTAACAAACATATATATTTATATAGATTTGTTAAATGTATATAACAAATATGTGTACAAACATTTGTTGGGCCCAGCTGGGTGGTTCAGTGGATTGAGCATCGTTCCATGGACTGAGAGGTCCGGGTTCGAGTCCACATCAGGGCACATGCCCTGGTTGTGGGCTTGATCGCCAGTAGGGGGCGTGCAGGAGGCAGCAGATCAATGTTTCTCACATCGATCTTTATATCTCTCTCTAAAAAAAAAAAAAATCAATAAAATCATATTTACAAAAAAATTGGGTTACTTGCCAGATATTTACTGAGCAGAATTCTCTGTAAGATGAATTAAAAATATGCACTTCATGGGATTAATCTGAGAATGAAATGAACGCATGCAAGCATTTAGCATACGGTTTTAACTGCGCACAAGTGCTTAATAAATCATTTAAAAAATGAAAATTTTAGTCCTTTACAACAATATAAAGAAGCGGTGTGAGTAAATAAAATGTAGTAAGAGAGTTTCGTGTAGAAAACAGAAGAGAAAGAGAGAAGTTACTAATACAATTCAATGAGATTATGCTTTCTTTTTTTGGTATTTTTTCCAAATATTTTAGATTGGAAGACCTGCGAGTAAAACTGGAGAAAGAAGGTTTTTCTAACATCTCCTATGTTGTTGTTAATCATCAAGGGCTCGCTTCTCGATTAAACTATATGTATCTTAAAAATGAGGTTTCAGAGCATATTCCTGTTTATCAACAAGAAGAAAACCAAACAGACGTCTGGACTCTCTTAAATGGGAACAAAGATGACTTCCTCATATATGACAGGTGTGTACACACATGCACGCCCACGCCAGAAGTTGACAAATACCTGCTTTGCACTTAATAGAGAGTGATTTAAGATAAGACACCTGCTTGTACTGTATTACCAGATCTTAGTTTCAAAGTCAGCCCATTAAAATGTTTGGTTTTAATATTTTTGAAATGAGTTTTACATAAAGAATTCAGCATTCCAGTAGGACTGACTATATGTTTTCCCCCTGTAAATTGGTGTTCTGGTTAAACACAAACAAGGGTTGACTTTTACATCACATACGATTTTAAACTGAGAATTTTGCAGGTGAATAGCCACACTTTGGGGGTACTGGATGAAAGAAGGTAAAGGGATTAGCTGAAGAACATTTAGACACAGACCACCGTGTAGTCATGGCCCGCGGGAAGGGGGGCAGGGGCTGGCTGGAGGTGGGCAAAGGGGTAGGGAATGGGGATCTGTAATAGTGTCAACAACAAAAATAAAGAAAACACCAAAAATAAAAAATAACCACACTTTGCAGACCACTTGCTTCTCTCTAATCTAATTAATCATTTTAAAGCTACATACCTGAATTTCTGAACTATAAACTGGGTTAATTATGTCGGGATCACCAGCATGAATTTGCTTGTGAGTCCATGAACAAATAAAACACTTGTATTTTCAGGAAACCTAAATGCATATATTATTTGATATTATTAACATTCCTAGTGGGTGCTCTGTTTTCTTTCGGTTCTTCAGAGATGGTGAGCCAGGCTCAGCCTAGGCCTAAGACCTTATTGGTCTTACTGTAAATATTTTTAATATTACATGGCATTCTTTTAGGACCGCAAAGTTCTAATTTAGTCAACTGCAAAGTCTAAACCTTTGACATTCACATAAAGTCGTATATGCTGGGTAAATGTGGGCAAGAAGGACATTTGAACCCTACCACTCTGGGAGTGCCCAGCGCTGTCACTCTGTTACCTCCATGTGCTGAAATGTCTGTCGTACCAGATTTATTTGTAAATGGGCTACGACCAAGACTCTGGGATTTTTGTCATGTGGTGACCTGTTGTGTGGACTTTGTGCTGCCTCGGTGGTCATGAACATCTCATGTGATTTGCTTAATTTATGACGTCAGTGGTTTGGGCATTGGTGGAATTTTCAGGGCAATTAGGAAATTGTATTTGACCAAGTCACAGTGACTGTACCGCGGCGTGGATGTTCTTTACAGCGATGTATCTCTGACTTTTCCAGAGGCTGGCAGTAGACGCGCTGTAGTCTTGCCGAGACCTGGCCTGCAGTGGCAGGGAGCTCATTCCCGAGCATGGCTGTGACTTGGTTCTGAGACCACTGCCCCTGCCCGCGCTCTCCCAGCCGTGCCCAGAGAACACTGAAGTGACGTCGTCTCTGTCCTTCTTTGCAGATGTGGCCGCCTTGTACATCACCTCGGCATGCCTTTCTCCATCCTGAGCTTCTCGTATGTGGAGGAGGCCATTAAGATCGCTTACTGTGAAGAGAAATGTGGAAACTGCTCTCTCACGGTATTTGCTCAATTATTTTTACTGGGAGAAAAGAGGAAATCTTTTAAGAGTTATCTAAAGAAGTTAATGTTTCATGACCAATGAACTAATCAGTGTTTCTGTTGATGTACTAAAAATAAACCACAACAGTAATTTTTATAATTACACACACTTCCTGTCATGTAACATATACTTCAAAACATCTTTTCAAGATCCATGTAGCTGCTTTTATCTGGAAGTGTTTTAGAAAATAAAAAAACAACATGGATCACATATTTCAGCTACTGCCAAGGGATGTTGCGAGAGCAAAGTGCTCACAGAAAGCCCACATAAAGTCACACTAGTGTAATATGCTCAGCACGGTTCACACAAGAGCACAGTCATAGCAGAGCTGACCATAGCATCAGCTCAACTGGAGCCTGGGCCAGAGAACCACCCAGTGTATCAAGGACACAGGGCGGGCAGCTCTTCCCAGAAGCCCTCACGCGGTCTACCCCACCTGCAGCTGGATGACCACGTTTACATCGAAACGGGATACGTGTTCTACTTGTTACTGAGATTTCTTTCCTAACAAGCATGAGGATATTTCTTCCTTGTAATAAGAAGTATTGTTGTTAAATATTGTTTATAAAAAAGATACTGAAGGGATTTTAATTTGTATCAATTAGACTCCCATCTCCAACCCCATTCTCGTATTGGAAGGGAAATAACTCCAAACAATGTTTGTGCTTGATAGGGCAAATTGGCAAACTTTAAACTCAGGTTTAAAAACAATTCTGAATTTTATTTGTAAGCTGTACTTCCTTCAGATTTTCCCCAGCTCTAAAAAGTCATCTCAGATTTAAATGCACCATTTAATTAATTTAGTTGCTAAGGGGCACAACAGGTTAATTACTCTAGTTTACATCATTTGTCACATGTTAATCTTCATAATAATCTAATAAGGCTTATTTTCTGCTTTTAAAGATGGGAAGACTGATATAATGCAAATAAATGATTAACCCAATGTCTAATGTATACGAACTGCTTAAATGCTAGCTATATTGATTCCTCATATTCTGGGATTATTTCATCATTTGGCATGTTTGAAAATACTGAGGGTTATAATTTTACCTAGTTATATTGAAACAAAGGCAGAAGCATTCTTTAAAAAAAATGTTTTTTTGTTAATCCTCACCAGAGGATATTTTTCTACTGATTCTTAGGTAGAGTGAAAGGGAGGGGGGGAGGGAGAGAAAGAGAGATAGAAAGAGGAACATTGATGTGAGAAAGACATATTGATTGGTTGCCTCCCTCACGACCGTGATTGGGGCCAGAGATTGAATCTGCAACCCAGGTACATGCCCTTGACAAGGAATCAAACCCACAACCCTTAGGTCCACGGGCTGACACACCGCTGAGCCAAACCAGCCAGGGCAAGGCAGAAACACTTACAACATGCTCAAACTTTACAAATCATCTGTAAAAAGGAATAACACAGCATATGAATCTGATATACCAAATCAAATTGGAGTTTTTCTACTTCATCATATCTAAGATGGGAGGGTCAATTTTATGACATGTAATTTTATGTACTATTAAAAAATGCTGCCAGTTCAGGTAGGACACAGGATACACACCAGGATACAGTCTGGTTCGAAAGATATTAAAATGTAAAAAAATACATTATAGAATCCATGAAATATGGTGATTGGCTTCTGGAGCCTAATTAGAGTACTACTATAGTTGTTTGTATTTGTTTACTCATGTGAACATTCAGAACATTACACAATATATTTTAAACATTTATCAAATTGTGTTTAAGTTTTTAAGTAAATACTATTAACTTCTCAACAGTAATTCAGAAAAACCAACAACAACAAAAAAACCGTACCACTTAGTAGTCACGTGCTAAAATCCAGTGGAATTTATAACTGTTCAAAACCTTTAAAACATCAGACCAGACCACTCAGTAGGCCTTCAGTCTCTCAGTTGATTTTGTAACTTAGGTTGAGGTCCCATATTTCACTGTGATGTCTATGAGCTTCGAGCCTATGGCTGTGGGCACACAAACGATACAGACTTCCAGCGAATCGAAGAGCTAGATAACGCAGAGTGAACTGTTGTGCTCAGTGGGAAGTGGGCACCGATTCGCCCTCCTCAGCTGCCAGCCCCATGGTGAGGGCACAGGAGCAAAGCTTTGGTGAAGTTCAAAACGTTTCCTGGTGTGAGCTGAGGTAAAAAAGCTACTGATCTTGAGTAGTTCTTGGCATTTTTGAATGATCGGGTAGAAACTGGTTTGCCTTAGAATAGAATATTAGATTTGAGGCACCATTGACACGGGTGTAAAAGTTCCATGTAGGGCAACTGATGGAAGGATTTGATATTTGGTGGACTTGACTGCCTTCGATTTAACTTCTTTCAACCAGTTTACTTAGTTTTGCTTCTGCCGACACGAATACAGTGGTTAGACTTTCTTCTTAAGCCTTGTGTATCTCTCACATTCTTCTTCAAAGTTCTTGAAAACTTAGAAAATGCTCTTGATAAGAAAAGAACAATTTTAATTCTGTTGTTGATTTAACGAGTATAAAGCTGACGTGAACTGCTGAACTTTAATTTTATTACTCTCTATTTTATCTATTTTCAAAACGTTAATGTTAATTCATTTGTAAGATACTTGAGGATTCTTTACTTGCAAACTTTGCACAAACGGCACTTTATAATTAGATATAGGTGGGAACCAAACTTTAATGAAGTCTGGGTGTTAAGATTAACATTAGATTCCTTTCTCATTAGTATGATGCTAGAACCACAAAGCCGGTTCCATCCTAATGAACTAGTTGGAATTTCATATATGTTAGCTTTACAGATTATTCTTCATGTGTTCCCGCTATAAATGTTCTATAAATGTGTAGATAAGTGACTGATAAATTTGTTTCAGACTCTGAAAGATGAAGACTTCTGTAGAAATGTGTCTTTGGCTACCATGAGAAAAGAAACAGAGGCTCCCGAGTCACTGCATCATCACCATTACCATCACCATCACCATCACCATCACCGTCACCGTCACCATCACCACACACATGGGCATCAGCACCCCGGGAACAGCCGGCTTTCAGAGAACCAGCAACCGGCAGCACCAACCTCGTCTGAGCTCGCCCCGCCTCCAACCCTTCACACCCATCATAAGCTCGCGGGCCCCCAGAGACAGGGTCACCCAGTGCACTGAGATGTGCCAGGAAGTGAAACTCTACCACTCTCTTCTTCACAAAAGAAACTCTGAGGAAAGAGGTGCATAAATCAGTTACTCTGAAAGTTGCCCACAGATCCAGAGGTAGCTCCTAATAGCTGATGCTGACATTGTCGACATCTGATATTTGCAAAAACAGGGTCTGCAATCACCTGACAGTGCCAAGAAACCCTCCCCTCTCTATGTAGCTGACAGGGACTTTGGGCAGAGGAGAATGTCACCGAGTCTTGACAGTGACGTTTGCTTCCAGCTGCCTGACAGGAAGGTCCACAGCCCAAGCCCACGGAAGCCAGCACCAACTGAAGCTGAAAAAATAAGGCAGAAAGGTGAAAATGACCTTCAAACTAAATATTTAAAATAGGATATACTCCCAAGTCAGTAGAGATGCAATTTCACTTAGCATTTTCACAAGCCACCTAATTCAGGATGATTACAAATTAGGAATTGGATTTGTGCAAACATAAAAATAATCTATATTGGTTTCCAAATTTTAAGATTTATCCCAAAGAAAATTTTGACCCAAACCATTCAAAAAATATTTTTTTATTTTTTATTAAAGGGCAACTGAAAGGTGATTGCAGCACTTGGTTCATCTGTCTTTCTTCTCCTTCCTCCAGTGTTCTACTTGCGTTAATGAGAACAGGAACGTAAACTATGACCTAGGGGTTTCTGTTGGATAGTCAGCAATTTAGAATGGAGGAAGAACAACAAAGACATATTTTCCATTTTTCTTAATTCTCAAAACAATATTATCTTTGTCTTTTTTAACTTACTAACTGATTAAACCCTTAAAGGAAGATGTGAATTCTGTCTTTTAAGATCCAGAAATACTTAACATCTGAGTATTTTGCTATGACTACATTTAAAATATTCATTTATACTTGTTTATATCTAAGACTCAAAGCTTGACTTTACGATTGCCTGTGAAAGAACCTTTTATCTATTGTTTTCTTTACCTGTTGTTGTATCAAACTCTTTAAAACTCGAGAATGCCTGTCTAGAAAGATAAAAGGGGAACATTTAAAAAAAGCTGTCTATCTCTTGATTGCTTAGAACGTATTTCCATAGTCAATGATGGTTCAATAGGTAAACTAAGTCCTATAAACCTGAACTCCTTTATGGTTAATACTATTAAGCAAGAATTCAATACACAGTTGGCCAAAGGATGGATTTATTTCAATAAACTCAATTTTAAAAGTTCAAAGCTGTCTCTTTCATTGTTATTATTTAGGCAGTATGTTGTATTGAGAACAGAAGTGAATTTTTCGACTGCTTTTAAAGAAATTAAATAGCCACAAATGAATTTACTGCTATGCTTAAAAACGTCTTCGTTTTAGATGAGGATCTTTGCCAACAGAGAGGCGTTGCTCTAAATCGCGAATGGTGTCACGAAGAATTGCAATCTCCTTGTTTTTTTCTTCTTGAAGATGTTGAAGTTTCTAAATGAAGCAGAAAAGTTTTGTTATTGCAATCCAGAAATAAAATTAAGCAAAGGGTACAACAAAACAACAACAAAAACAAAACTTCTAGTTTAAGTAGAAGTAGGTATTTAAAAAACTTTATTTTAAAAAGTAGAATTTGGGGGTTATTTTAGAATATGGCAGCAGGCAGGATCGGAGGGAGGGTGAGTGTGTGAGAGAGTGTGCGAGTGTGTGAGAGAGTGTGAGTGGACGTGAAGGTGGACGACCAAACCCGAGCAGTGCAGAGCCGCAGAGCAGAAGGTCCCTGTGCTGTGGACGGAGCAGCCGGCTACCGTGGTGAGCAGCCCTTCAGGGCACTTTGTCCTACACTACGGGGAGGTCTCGCCATTTTGGAAGACCCCAGGTCTTCCCTGGGAGGAGGCAGTGGGAGCGGCTGGGGCCCAGCAACCTGAGCCCACCAGCACACCTGGCACCATTGGACCAGTGGACACTCTGTGTCAACACAGACCAGTGCACAGTAGCGGAGCTCCCAAGGTGCCGGTCGCGGAAGCTGGGGACAGCCCAGAGCCCAGCACCATCCCCCAGAGTAGCAGCCTGATCAGAGTGAAGACATACCCCCAGCAACAGAGGCTGGGGAGCAGACATCCATCCCCAGGCAACAGGAGCACAGACCAGCAGCAGAGACCCATCCCCAAAATCTACAGCAAAAGCTGAGCAGGAGTTGAGCCCCACGGGGCAGCAGCACTCCCCAGCCCCCAGCGGCGGGACCTGGGGCTCCACAGAAGCCTGTGTGGTCCAGCAGCTCACAAGAGCAGTGGGAAGCCAGAGCCCGAGAGGGGCTGGTGTGATCCAGCTGCCAGCTCGCGGGACCTGCAGGGTACAGGGGGCACCAGAGAGGCCTGTGCCACCCAGTCGTGCATAAGATAGGTGTAGAGGATGTGAAAATGGAGGCGGAGTGAATGGAAGCTACACAGACGATTTCCCAGGACCAAATGGGAATTACAACTAAAATAAAGGCAAATTCTCGGAAAAAAAGCAACAGAAAAGCAGCAGGATAGGATCATATAACCAGGGACACTGGTAGGATCTGCAGAGGTATGAGAGCATGGCGGGCTGGGAGCTCAGCCCTTGGAGAATAAAGACCAAGCCCATTCCACAGTGCAGAGAGCCAGGACAGAGCACTAAAACAGCCACAGCCACTCACCTGGGGGCTACCACAGAGGGAGGGCAGACTGGGGTGGAACTCTGTGGGGACACCCGGGATTTGGAGGGCACTCAGAGTTTTTGCTGAGTTGCGGCCACAAAGGACAGTGGCCAGTGTGCTCCTTCCCAGAGCTGTGGGAAAAAGCAGCAGCCCCTCCCCCCCCTTGGAGATTCAGCCTTTCCCAGGTGAGGCAAAGAAATGCAAATTGAGGCTCATTAACAACCAGCATCTATCCCACCCTCTGGAAATCCTCTTATGCAGAACACCAGGGCTACATTGCAAGGCACTGAGTAGCTGAGACTACTAGCCTCCAGGAAAAAGCTAGAGAATAACTGGACCTTTCCCGAGCTTGCAAATCTACCCAGGAAAGTAAGACTTGACAGTGGTGTTTAATGTGGGTCCACCCAGGCTCCTCCAAACCCAGTAGAGGGAACCACAAACAGCAGAACACCAACACCCACAGGGAAAATTTGGCAGGCTCCAAAACCCACTGAGATAGCTAAAATGGTGAAACAGAGCAACAAATCCCAAATGAAAGAACAAGAGAACTCTATGGAAGATGAGATAAATTAAATGCAGTTAAGCAAATTATCAGAGGTAGAGTTCAGAGCCATGATCTTGAGAAAGCTCAACAGCATGAGTAAGGACATCAGCACCATGAGTAAAGATATAGAAACATTGAAAACCAACCAAGTGGAAATGAAAAATGACATAGCAGAAATTAAGAACACATTGGGCCCTGGCTGGTTTGGCTCAGCAGCTGGAGCATTGGCCTATAGTCCAGGGAGAACCAGGTGTGGTTCCCGCTAAGGGCATGTACCTCGGTTGCAGTTTGTCCCTGGCCCTGGTTGGGTCATGCGGGTGGTGGCCACTTGATGTGTCCCTTTTACCTCTCTCTCTCTCTCTCTCTCTCTCTCCCCCAATCCTGCTCTATCTTAACAAAAAATGGGAAAATGTCCTCAGGTGAGGATAAAGAAAAAACACACATTGAAAGGACTAACCAGCCCTGGCCGGTTTGGCTCAGCGGTGAGAGCGTGGCCTGCGGTCCAGAGGGACCCGGGTTCGGTTCCCGCTGAGGGCATGTGCCTCGGTTGCAGTTTGTCCCCGGCCCTGGTTGGTCGTGTGGGTGGCGGCCACTCAATGTGTCCCTTTCACGTCGATGTTTCTCTCTCTCTCTCTCTCTGTTCCTCTCTCTCCCTCCCACTCTATCTGAACAAAAAATGGAAAAATGTCCTCGGGTGAGGATAAAAAAAAGGACTAACCAGCAGAGTAGAGGAAGCTGAGAACCAGATCAGTGAATTAGAAGACACGGTAGAAAAAATCAACCAATCAGAAAACCAAAAGGAAAAAAACAATTAAAAAACAGGAAGATAGCTCAAGAGGACTGTGAGACAACTGGAAATGTAATAACATTCGCATCATAGGAGTCCCCGAAGAGGAAGAAAATGGGCAAGAGTTAGAGAATGTATTTGAAGAAAACTTTCCTAACTTGGTGAAGGAAGGCGGCATTCAAGTTCAAGAAGCACAGAGAGCCCCAAGTAAGAAGAACCCAAACAGGCCCACACAAAGACACATAGTAATTAAAATGCCAAAAATTAAAGACAAAGAGAGAATCCTAAAGTCAGCAAGAGAGAAGCAACAGGTTACCTACAAAGGAAACCCCATAGGGCTCTCAGCTGACTTCTCAACAGAAACACTACAGGCCAGAAGGGAATGGCATGAAGTACTCAAGGTCATGAAAAACAAGGATCTGAATCCAAGACTACTCTACCCAGCAAGGCTATCATTCAAAATAGAAGGTCAAATAAAGAGCTTTCCAGACAAAAAAAGACTAAGGGAATATATTAACACCAAACCAGCACTGGAAAGATATGCTAAAAGGACTGCTGTAATTAGTGAAAGAGAAATATAACCACACTAAACAAAAATGGCAATAAATAAGTACATATCAATTATCACCTCAAATGTGAATGGTTTGAATGCTGTGATAAAAAGACACAGAGTAGTTGACTGGATAAGAAAGCATGACTCACATATATGTTGTTTACAAGAGACCCACTTCACAACAAAAGAGTCACATAGGTTGAAAATAAAGGGATGGAAAAAAATCTTTCAAGGAAACGGAAAGCAAAAAAAGCTGGGGTAGCAATATTCCTATCTGACAAAGTAGATTTCAAAATGAAGGCCATAACTAGAGACAAAGAAGGCCACTACATAATATAGAAAGGACCTATCCAAAAGGAAGATATAACTTTGGTAAACATACATGCACCCAATATAGGAGCACTGACATATATTGAAAATCTTCTGGAGGACTTCAAAAGAGAAATTAACAGCAATACAATCATAGCAGGGGACTTCAACACCCCGCGGACATCACTGGATAGATCTTCTAGACAAAAAATTAACAAGGAAACACAGACTCTAAATGAAGTGGTAGACCAAACGGATTTAATAGATATCTACAGAGAATTACATCCCAAAACTGCAGAATTCACATTCTTCTCAAGTGCACATGGGACATTCTCAAAGATAGACCACATGTTAGGATACAAACTAAGTCTCTAAAAGTTCAAGAAGACTAAAATCATATCAAGCATCTTCTCAGATCACAATGGCATGAAACTAGAAATCAATTGCAACAAGAACATGCAAAGACATTTAAAAACATGGAGGCTAAATAGCATGTTATTGAACAATGAATGGGTTACCATGGAGAACAAGGAAGAAATTAAAAAGTTCCTGGAAAACAGCCCTGGCCTGTTTGGCTCAGCGGTTAGAGCGTCCGCCTGCGGTCCGGAGAGACCCGGGTTCGGTTCCCGCTAAGGGCACGTACCTCGGTTGCAGTTTGTCCCCGGCCCTGGCTGGTCGTGCGGGTGGCAGCCACTCGATGTGTCCCTTTCACATCGATGTTTCCCTCTCTCTCTGTTCCTCTCTCTCCCTCCCACTCTGTCTGTACAAAAATGGAAAAATGTCCTCGGGTGAGGATAAAAAAAAACAAAAACCAAACATGTTCCTGGAAAACAAAGAAAATGAACACACATCAGCACAAAATCTATGTGATGCAGCAAAAGCAGTTCTGAGAGGGAAGTTCATAGCACTATAGGCCTACCTCAAGAAGCAAGAAAAATTTCTAATACACTATCTAATCTCACAACTTAAAGAACTAGAAAGCAAACAGAAAGAAAACCCCAGAGCAAGTAGAAGGAAGGAAATAGTAAAGATCAGAGCAGAAATAAATGACATGAAGACCAAAATAACAATCCAAATGATCAATGAAACAAAGAGCTGGTTCTTTGAAAAGACACACAAGATTGATGGACCCTTAGCTAGACTCACCAAGAAATAAAGAGAGAGAACCCAAGTACACAAAATCAGAAATGAAAGAGGAGAAATAATAGCTGACACCACAGAAATACAAAGAATTGTTAACGAATATTATGAACAATTATATGGCAACAAATTCGACAATCTAAGTGAAATGGACAAATTTCTAGAAATACATAGTTTCCTAAATCTGAACTGGGAAGAGACAGAAAACTTGAACAGACCAATAACAACAAAAAAAATTGAAGATGTAATCAAGACTCTCCCAGCAAACAAAAGCCCAGGCCCGGACGGCTTCATGGGGGGATTTTACCGAACATTCAAAGAAGAACTAATACCCATTCTTCTCAAACTATTTCAAAAAATTCAAGAAGGAAGACTTCCAAACTTGTTTTATGAGGCCAGCATAATTCTAATTCCAAAACCAGATAAAGACACTACACAGAAAGAAAACTACAGGCCAATATCCCTGATGAACAAAGATGCCAAAATCCTGAACAAAATACTAGCAATTCAAATCCAGCAATACATCAAAAAAATTATTCACCATGACCAAGTGGGATTCATCCCAGGGATGCAAGGCACAATATTCACAAATCAATAAATGTGCTACACCACATAAACAAAATGAAAGATACAAATCATATGATCATATCAATAGACGCTGAAAAAGCATTCGACAAAATCCAGCATCCATTTCTGATAAAAATGCTCAGCAATCTGGGAATAGAGGGATCATATCTCAACATAATAAAGATTGTATATGAAAGACCTACAGCCAACATCATACTCATATGGGCAAAAACTAAAAGCATTTCCCTTAAGAACAGGAACAAGACAAAGATGCCCACTTTCACCACTCTTATTTAACATAGTACTGGAAGTCTTAGCCACAGCAATCAGACAGGAAGAAAAAAATAAAAGGGATCCAAACGGGAAAGGAGGAAGTGAAACTTTCATTATTTGCAGATGACATGATACTATATGTAGAAAACCCCAAAGACTCCATCAAAAATTTAGTAGACTTAATAAATGCATTTGGCAAAGTAGCAGGATACAAAATTAACGTCAAGAAATCGATGGCATTCCTATACACCAATGATGAACTCACAGAAAGAGAAACTGAAAAAACAATCCCATTTACCATCATGGCAAAAAAAATTAAAATACCTAGGAATAAACTTAACCAAGGAAGTAAAGGACCTATTTGCAGAAAACTACAGGTCATTGAAAAAAGAAATAGAGGAAGATATAAAAAAGTGGAAGCACATACCTTGTTCATGGATGGAAAGAATTACCATCATTAAAATGTTCATACTACCCAAAGCAATCTATAGGTTCAATGCAATCTCCATCAAAATACCAACGACATACTTCACAGAACTAGAACAAATACTTCAAAAGTTCATATGGAACCAAAAAAGACCTCGAATAGCTACAGCAATCTTGAAAAAGAAGGACAAAGTAGGTGGGATCACAATTCCAGATTTCAGGTTATACTACAAAGTCATTATAATCAAAACAGCCTGGTACTGGCACAAGAACAGGCAGATAGACCAGTGGAACAGAACTGAGAACCCAGAAATGGACCCAAGACAATATGCTCTATTAATATTTGACAAAGGTGGCAAGAGCATACAGTGGAGTAAAGACAGCCTCTTTAATAAGTGGTGTTGGGAAAATTGGACAGCAACATGCAAAAAAAATGAAACTAGACCATCAACTTACACCATACACAAGAATAAACTCAAAATGGATAAAAGACTTATATGTGACTCATAAATCCATAAAAATCCTAGAAGAAACTGTAGGCAACAAAATTTCAGACATCATATGCAACAGAATTTTCACTGATACATCACCTAAGGCAACAGAAACAAAGGAGAAAATGAACACATGGGACAACATCAACCTCAAAAGCTTCTGCACAGCAAAAGAAACAACCATCAAAATGGAAAGGGAACCCACTGTATGGAAGACCATAATTGCTACTGATGCATCAGATAAGGGGTTAATTTCCAAAATATACAGAATGCTCATACAACTCAACAAAAGGAAGACAAAGAACCCAATTAAAAAATGGGCAGAGGAACTGAATAGACACCTCTCCAAACAGGACATACAAATGGCCAAGAGACATATGAAGAAATGCTCAACATCACTAATCATCAGAGAGATGCAAATTAAAACAACAATGAAGTATAACCTCACACCTGTCAGATTGGCCGCCATCAACAAATCATCAAACAAGTGTTGGTGAGGGTGTGGAGAAAAGGGGACTCTAGTATACTGCTGGTAGGAATGCAGACTGGTGCAGCCACTGTAGAAAACAATGTGGTGTTACTTCAAAAATTTACAAATTCAACTGCCATTTGACCCAGTGATCCCACTTCTAGGAATATAGTCTAAGAAGCCTGAAACACCAATCAGAAAGAATATATGTACCCCCATGTTTGTAGCAGCACTATTTACAATAGCTAAGATCTGGAAACAGCCCAAACGTCCATCAGTAGACGAATAGATTAAAAAAAGCTGTGGTACATATACACAATGGAGTACTATGCAGCTGTAAGAAAGAAAGATCTCTTATCCTTTGAGATGACATGGAGGGGACTGGAAAGTATTATCCTAAGCGAAACAAGCCAAACAGAGAAAGACAAGTATCATATGATCTCACTTATTTGTGGAATATAATGAACATAATAGTCTGAGTAATGGGGTAGTCCCAGAGACGTGGAAGTGGGGTACAGACTGACAATCCCCAGGAGAGGGGGTGGTGGGGGAGAGATAAGCAGAACTTATATGCAGGTATGCATGAACGATGGACATGGACAACAAAGCTGGGGACAGGGCAGGGAGGGTGAGGAAGGGGGAAGTCAGTGGGAGAAACATCTGTAACAAAAATTAATAAATTAATTAAAATAAATAAATAAATATTTTAAAAAATATAAAGTAGAATTTTATTTGTGTGGGACTTATTGGGGTAAAACTGGTATAAGGATGCAAAAACACTCATTAGCACTATTTGTTTTAGTTTGTCCCTTTCTCCCTATAGAGCTTGAAGGGTAAAGCATAAATTAAAAAAAGAGTTGAACAAAAGAAAATCTACCATGTGCCTAAACAGCTGCAGGAGGAAGTCAACGTTAATTCAAAATACGTTATGGGCCCTGGACGGCTTGGCTCAGCTGTAGAGTATCTGCCTGCTGTCCAGAGAGACCTGGGTTTAGTTCCCGCTAAGGGCATGTACCTCGGTTGCAGTTTGTCCCCGGCCCTGGTTGGGTCAGGCAGTGCAGGAGGGCCATGTGAGAGGCAGCCACTCAATGTGTCCCTTTCATGTCGATATTTCTCTCTCTCTCTCTCTTCTTCTCTCTCCTCCTACTCTATTTGAACAAAAAATGGAAAATTGTCCTTGGGTGAGGATAAAAAAACCAAAAATACATTATGGAATTCCTTAGGTGATCCAAAGAGTCAAATGACTTTTCTAGTATTTTAATTAACTACTAAGATTTACTGGTTTAAACTTAAAGTAACCTTTAAAGATTATATAAAATCTAGTATCTTTCTGGTTGTGTGATATATTTTAAGAAAAATTATTAAGTTTATTGCTAGTAAATATTAGATAATTTTTATGGAAGAAAACACACTAAAATTTTTATTTTCTTAAGCAACCAACATGGAAGAAAAACTTACATACCCTTCTGTAGATACTCTGTGGTAAAACAGTAGAATCCGGATACGATTTTGATTTAGTTTGAACTCTTGCTAGTTTGGCATCAAACTGAATCAAGTTTAAAAAGAAAGTTATTGAGAACAGTAATTAAACAATTAGAAACAATTGTCTCCATAAATATATAGTTCATGATATCTTTTGACATTTAATCTGTAATTAAGCATATTCTCTGTACAACAGAAGATGGAAAAGTCGTTCGTTAAGAGCAAAGAACACCCGGAGAAGATTAGCCCTGGCTGCATGGTAAGATTACCTGGGGAGCGTCATGAAAGTACCCAGCACTGACACTATCTTAGAGATTCTGGGTGGGTTAGCATCATCTTTTTCCCAGGACATCAGGTGTTTCTATCATGCAGGGTTAAGAATCTAGTTAACTTAAAAAGAGATATTTTCATATTGCTCTGAGTGTGCTTTTGTAAAGAAAATGTAGTGTAATTAACAGTCATGAGAGAAAAACTTATATACCCTTCTGCACAGACTTGGAGTCTAAATACTGGAATTTGGATATGCTTTTGTTGATTCAGTTTGAACTCTTGCTAGCTTGACGTTAAACTGAATCAGGTTTACAAAAATTCTCGTAAGGCCATTCTTACAGGTCATATTTTTGGCAAAACCTTCCATTAAAATTCTTCCCTTCAGGTTGAGTTCAGGGTAGCCTCCCTGGGACTGAGAATAAACTCCCTGAACTGTGTTCTTGTTTCGGGAGAGCAGTGGATTGTGACAATGAAAATAAATAGCAGAAAGTTCTGTATGTCAGCCCCACGGCAGACTTGAGCTAACGGCCTGGACAGCAAATGAAACGCACGTCCCAACAAGGGACTGGACGTTGGTAGGTCCTGAAACATGGTCTCTGCACTGCAGCTGCCCACCCAGCCCTTTCTGTGGAGGGTGCGTGTGTTTGGCCTGAAGGCAGTGGCAGCCACGGAGAGCCTCTAAACTCAACATAGCCCCCTTTGCTCAATGATTATACACTTTTCAACACTGTAGCTCACCAAGAACCCCAGAAATACCAAGCTAGCTGGAACATGAAAAGTAAGTTATCTTAACTATGGTGAATTATGACGACATAAGGGCAAGCGGGAGTCAGGCTGGAAGAATGTGATACAATATGACGGGAAGGTTGATTGGTAAACTCTAGAAAAAAATTAAGGAATGAATATATTGTCAAATACCAATCTCTTTTTTTGACATGTGGCTAAACAACCTACTGAAAAGGCTTTCCAGTCAAGAACTGGAACCTCTGCCTTTGAGATGGCCTATTTGAAGTCCCTTTAATTTAAAAAAATGTGATTTGTCTGCCCCTATGATATTCTACACATTTATTAGGGGACATTTGTCTCTTTATCCCAAGGAAAGAGAAAGGTATTTCTAGTTGGCTCACCAGGGTCCCACAATTCTGCTGAGGAGAGAGTAACGTTAAGGGATAGAAACACTCTCCCCACTGCTGGATGGTGGCCATACGAAGCCTGCGTGGGCTCAGCTGTAAAACACAAGTAGTCCCTGAGTTACCGGACTCCCCTCAGAGGAAACAATTCTTTCTCTGGAAACCAGGACCTTTTGAATGACTGAAGATCGCCACCTTCAGGCCAAGTGCTGAATGGCAGTGTAGCTGACCGTGGTGGGGGTTTGGGCATTGGCTGTGGGGGTCTAACCATTGGTTGTGGGGGGATCTAAGCATTGGTTGTGGGGGTCTGAGCATTGGTTGTAGGGGTGTGAGCACTACACATATGGAGAATAAGTGTGCAAAGCCCTCACACAGAGGTGTTTCTACTCCTGAATTTATCTCACTGTGATGAAAAATACCCAGAGTATGATCTACACTAAGACTCATCCTCAAACTTAGCAGTCTTAAATATTTACTTCTAGCTGTAGTTTGATTATTTCATTTTGTTTTTCCTTCTCTTGAATTCGTAATTTTGTATTTAACTCTGAAATTTCCACCTCCATTTTCTCTATCAGCTCTTTTTTCTTTTCTTCATTTAATTCAACTGAATAAAACAAAAACAAAATTAATTCACCTTAACATTTCAAAAATCTTATAAGCTTATAGTTCTTTAATATTTTATCTGATTCACAAGAAAGATTTTATTAATAAAAACATACAGTATTTTAGAAACTGCTTATGTGCATCATACCTTTCAGATTTTTTTGACAAACCCTTAAAAAATGCTTGAAATACAAAAGTCACCAATTGAATGCTTTTAAACAAATAAACTAATGTTCACTCTTCAATATCAGTGGCCTAGAGAATAAGTAGGCCATCTAGTGGTTAAAGAGGGATACAGAGCCTGGGTTCCTAGCGTCAGAGGTCCCCAGATTCCTGGGTGACACTAGAGTAACATCAAGCACCTGCCGTCTTCCCTTCCATATAACTGGGCCTCTCTGATGTTCACTCCATGTTTTTATGCTTCATTAAATTTTCTCTTCTCTCAATTTTCATATTTCTATAAATAACACGTCTAGGCAAGATCGGAGCCTCAAGGATTGGTTTTAGGAAGAAAGGAGAGTCAATTAGTTTGCAAGGCCCCCTGTAAGCTCCATCCACAGCTAATCTACTACCTATTTAGTTTCAGGCCTTCTTTTCCCCAGTTGGACCCTGTGTCTAGACCCTCTGCCACCAGTCTGCCCCCTAAGCGCGGCTGCGAGGCTACTCCTCCTAAAGCATGGCCATCACTCTCAGAAACCTTCAGTCACTTCCCACTTCCTCAGCTGGACAACTCAAGAGGTCAAAGAATCCAGACTACTCACAGTTTTCGGCCTTTTTCTTGCTGAACCTTTCTGTGTAGTGCCAAGAAAAGGTAGGAAATGGACTACTGTTCCCTAGTATGTCCCATGTCTCCCCCTCTCTGTGTATAAGCTTTTATTTTCTTGTTGTCTTGAGGCCCTTTTCCCTGTCTTCACCAATCAAACTAACCCATACTCAGGTTTAGGAGCAGGGCCCAGTACTAAGGCCTCATCTTAGCCTGGGCTGAGGCAAATCCAGAAGAATATATTTAGCTACCTAAAACTTGGAGAAATGGACTTCATCTGGCCCCAGTCTGTACCCATTATGTGCCTGGAGGCAGCACTGTTGAAGAAGTCGTGATTAAAACATGAAACGGGTCCATCTACAGACACTATGTTAGAGCTGTGTGACCTCCTTTATCATAATTCCCCCGAGAGCTTTTGTCATCAAGATTATGTTGGCCTTATGAAATCAACTGGAAAAATTTTCCTCTTTTGTTTGTTAATCTTCTGAGAGAGTTCATGTTAAGACTGGCACTAGTTTTCCTGGAATGTTTGGTAGTAATTCACTGGGAAAGCCATCTGAGCCTGGAGTTTTCTCTGGGGAGAACATATTTATTATAGATTTAATTTCTTTCTTTTTTTTTTTTGGTATGTGCCCCTATCAAAAACTGAACCCGGGACACTCTGGTCCGCAGGCTGACACTTCAACTGCTGAGCCAAACTGGCCAGGGCTGGATTTAATTTCTTTAATAGAGATAGAACAACTCAAATTTTCTGTTTCAGTTAAAAATCCTTTAGGATTTCAACTTTGATCCACAGGTTATTCAGAAAAAATTTACAAACATATAGGGATCTTCTAATGATCTGTTTCTTGGAGAACAGAAGAAATAGCAAAATGATTTCTTTTTAAAAAATATTTTTCCTTTATTGATTTTAGAGAGAGAGTAAGGGAGAAGAGAGAGAGAGATAGAAACATAGATGAAAGAGAACATCAATTGGCCACCTCCTGCATGCTCCCCACTGGGAATTGGGTCCACAACCTGGGCATGTGCCCTGACTAGGAATTGAACCAGTGACCTCTTGGGTGCATGGGTTAACATTCAACCAGTGAGCCACACTGGCCAGGCAAAACTTTTTCTAAAGTGGCTGTGTAATGTTAGAGTCCCACCAGTAAGGTGTCAGAGTTCCAGTCGCTCCACATCCTCATCAACACTTTTGTTTTTTTTTTTATTGGTTTGAGCGAGAGAGGAAGGGAGAGGGAGATGGAAATTTTGATGAGAGAACATCGATTGGCATGCCCCTCACTGGGGATTGGGCCCATAACCTGGGCATGTGCCTTGACCGGGGATTGAACTGGTGACCTCTTGGTACATGGATCGGCGCTCAACCCTTGAGCCACACCAGCTGGACTGATTTTTCTTTATTATTTGTGCTTTTTGTTTCTTTCCAATAAGTTGTGCCTAACTCAGAGTCGCAAAGATTATCTTGTATGCACCCTGTTCAGTTTTATAGACGGAGGTTAACGTTTAGACCAGTCATTCATTGCATGTTGATTTTTGCATATGATGTGCACAAATATGGTCTCATAAAGAAAGATTTTAAATACCCTTATGAAACTAGTTAACTCTCAACATAAGTTAATGAGATCTCCTTTACTGAGGGAAGAAAATTTCATCAGTGAAATTATATTCAATATGCTAAGTATATAAATATGAAAGCTATGAATTATACATTTTACAAAGACATTGTTTCATAATGAATAATATTAAGTGCAAACATCAAGAATCCAATTTAGACATGTTGTAATTTATATCACATGATTTAGGCACAAAACCTAAATTAAAATACATCAAGGCAATGTTCATTCAAGAATACTGGCTGTTACTGAAAAAGTTTATATATGTATTTGAACTGTTTTATGAAATCTTAGAATTCAGTAGGTAAAAAAATAAGAACTTACTTTTATTCTGCATATCCTGACAAAGTTTTCTTATTTCTATCTTATGTCCTTCTTCTTTGATTTTCATTTCATTCATAATTTTGGCAATATTATTCTTATATTCCTAATGATTAAAATATACATTCATTCAATTTAAATAAGTGTGCACTACTTTTGATTAATTGAAAAGGTGAAATTTTAAAATGTTATATTAATTTTTTATATGTAATCATATTGTTCATTGTTTGAATGATCAGCTTTGAGAAGGACCAATATCTGGTCCAAGGAGATAAAGACCATCTAGAGACAATGTCTTTTTATTTTTGTTTTCTGAATACTCATGACTAATGTTTAGCCTATTATAGATGCTTACATTTTGTTCAATTGTATAAATAAATGCCATGACAGCATTAAAATATGTTCATCAAAAGCCAAAGCTGTTCAAAAGCCAGCCAGCTTACCCTAAAGTAGGATGAATCCATTTGAATCCGAGCTAAACTTCTGTTTCTGAAAATCATGCAAACACCCCTAATTCCCAGAAGGAGGTTAAGCATTGCCATCGTAAGGATTAGCCTTATGAGGGAGGCTAGAAAAGGATGGGCCTGAGATTTGCTTCTTAGGTTGTTGAAGTAGAGAGGTGACTTATATGCTGATATGGAGAGGGGGCAATGAGAAGGCCGTGGAAGGGTTCTGAGCTTAGATCCAGTAAATGGGCTTTCGAGGATCCATTAACTCCCTGAAATTGTATGTAAAATCATACACATACATGTGTGTGTATGTGCTGTTGAACACTTTTCTCAGAGAGGGTACACAACTTTAATAGATATTCAGTGCTATTAGAGGTAAAAAAGTCCAGATATCCTGGTTAAGATGGCTATAATTAAACATAGCGGTACACTTGTCCAGTTACATGAGTTCAAAGGGATATAGTCTAGATTTATGCTGTGATACTTACCTGCCAGACAGCTTGCAGGAATGGTCAAACCTATCCGACCATTGACTTTGATTAAAGCTTTGCAGGTGAATTTGGGGTTACTCTCATAAACTGCCATTCTTCATATGCATGCATCTAGATTCCTAGATGGGTAACAACTGAGTGGCACTAAGCGATTACTGCTCTGAGAGACAAGAGATGAATCTATGTATCTGTTCATTCCCCATTGACTTTGCCGCTTAAAGATGCCACTGCTAAAGTGGAATGCTTCAGTTAATTCCTGAGACCCAGTATTTTCACCCTAACCTCCAGGCATGGAGACTATCCGAATGTCTAGGCTGGGACTGCATCGCACTGGATTCTTCTCCCCCACTTTAGCTGGGCCAGCCCTTCCATTCTCTAAGGGGACCAAGTCCCAACAAGTTATTCTTGGTTGCCCTGTGGGAACCTTAAATGCCAAGGAATAGCCTATGGAGATCTATCTATCTATCATCTATCTATCTATCTATCTATCATCTATCTATCTATCTATCTATCTATCTATCTATCTATCTATCTATCATCTCTATATACACACACACATACATATGTATGTATATATGTATATATACTTAAAGATTCTCTGTCTACAATTTATAAAACCTCTCCCAGTCCCATAAAATGGCAACCAAGTACCTCCAGAGTTTGTTTCTGGGTAGTAATATTTCATGTTTTGGACATGCCTGGAGGTTTTGTACTAGAAAATTCTCCTTGGATTGAGGTAATCTTTAGTTTGCTTTGGACAGTAGCTAATTTAGAAGTTCAGAATCTTGAGTTGTGGTGTTTTCTCATTAATTTGCACCCCTCTGAAAATCCCTATAGTATTCTATGGATTGACATTTTAGAAGAGGAAAGAGGCAAATACTTCTGGCCCTTCTCTCTGCCCCAGTTGCACTTTGACTTCACCATCTATGGTTGAGTTTTAAAGGCAAGATATGGACAGGACAGGAAAGTATACAGGAAAAGGATAAGGAAAGGGAAAAAATGGTGGGATACATTTCGAAGATACTTAAGTTGTCTCAGAACTGGTGGGGAAAGGCTGCATCTTCTAGGAGCACAGCAGATGCTGGTCCTTACACCTGAGCGATGCCCAGGAGCCCTGCAGGCTCTTACAACTGGACTGTATTTCTTCAGAGGCGCTCAAGTGAGGACCCAGACTGAATTTAGAGATGGTCCTTCAAACTGAAGTTCTAAGTTTGATACAGATCCAACTAGAATTTTGGAAATCTTAGGTCAGAGTTTGACATTCTGGCTCTTGGGAGATGAGAATAGTTAGTGTGACAAACCTCCCGAAGGGCAGAGGTGTGGGAACTGGCATTTACTGAGCACCTTTCATGTTCTAGTCACTGTGCTGTGGGTTCTGTAGCTGCTATCACTATGCTGTTTTTATAGGAAAAAAGAAAAAGTAACAGAGGGTATGGTGGCCCCTGGGAGATAATTAATTGGTGATTCATTGCTCCCTTCATTTACATGGCACAATAAAATTGTAATATATTACTCAAATTATAAAGATTAAAGACTCATTTACTTTATGGTAAAAAAGTTTAAAAGTGCTAATAGAGTATACTCCAGAGCAAAAACTTTATTAACATAATTTAAAAATATGTAGCAAAACAAATGCCTTTCTTTTTGGTAGAAAGAAAAAGTACAAGTGATATGTTAGTGCATTACAGTCTGCAAGAAGACTGGGGTCCTCAAAATTTCTATTTCTTAAAAAATTTTTATTAAAAATTCTGGCACACACATAGATATTTACTCTATAAATTTTGCTGTTTTTATTAATCAGAACAATGACTTTTTTTTTCTAATTCAAGAAGACAAATGCTCTACAAGGATTTGACTGATATAAAGATACATAAACTCACCTGTTCATGAGATTTTAACTTTTCTTTCATAAGATCAGCATTTCTTTTTAGTTGTTCATTTTCACCTGTGTAAAATCATCAAAGAGCACCCTGATATACAGCACCTCTCAGCTACTGTGGGAATACGTTAACCTTTAAGTCTCCATTCGTGAATGCACGCAACATGCGACAGCATCCAGTGCAGGAGCACGGAGGGCTGAGCCTGGATGCTGAAACAAAAGGTCACTGTTCTTCACAGAATGTGCAGCCTAGGGGTGAGACAGATGTGTAAGTGGTCATGACTGTTCTGTAATGGCAGTGTGTCTGAAACACTATGGGGACCTGTGCAAGAAAAGCCGGAGTCAGCTTGGTCAGGAAAGGGTACACAGAGAAGGAGCCCTCTGAGCCGAGACTGGGCTTACCCACGTGGAAGGAGGTTATTTTAGTTGCATCAGGGGCAGATAACTATTTACACGATAGAATTACCAGGAGCCTTAGTGATTGCATAGCAGAGGCAAAGGGAAAGGGGAACCTCTGCCTTTTAGGTTTCTGGTTTGGGAATGTGAAAAACATCCAACAGTTTGAGAAAAATTAAAAGGGGAATTTTAGGAGTGAAATAATGAATCTGAATCTTCACCATGCTGAATTTGAAATGTTTGAGCTCTCCAGGAGAATGTTTCTGGTGGGCTGAGAAACATTCAGGAGAGGCCAAAGAAGAGCATCCTATAAGAAGATTGAGAAGTGTCCAGAGATGCAGGAGGCAGTGTCCTAAGAAAAGTGGTTAAACAGGTTATAATCACTGGTAATAAATGCAATAAATAAGGTCAAGTGAAAGAACTTTGAATGAAATTTTGGGAGATGCCCAACTGTTCTAAGTTAAAGACTAAGTGAAGGTGAAGGAATGAAGGTATTGAGTGCAGGCTACTATTCCCTTGAGGTTTGATTGGAAAAGAAAAGAGTGAGGGCAATTGAAGGCAATAAACCCAAAGTCAATGGCACTTTGTTGTCGTTTGTTTAAAATTTGAAAGAGATCTGAGTTGTTTAAATGCTGAAAGAAATGGTCAGTAGAAAGAGGGAGATGAAAGACAGAGAAAAGGAGGAGTAATTGAAGATGCAGTGTCCCAGAAGAGAGAAGTATTTGACATGGTCAAAATTCACTGAATGTACTGTACACTTGAGATCTGTGCAGTTCACAGTATGTTAATTGCTCTTCATTTTAAAAATCATTTCCAAAAATTCCACCAGATTGTTAAAGCTAGTAATTTCAGGACTTTGTAATTCACAGAAAAAGGGCACAATACACTAGGTCAGTCATTCTGTTTTATCTTTGGTGTGGGGGCTGAGGGGGCTGACCACAAATAGGGCAGGGTTTTTTTAGTCTGTGCATTATTGAATTGTTATATGATAGATTAGCATTTATTTATCCTGAGGGCTTTTACTCTGCACTTATACAGTCTACATTTAAATTTAAACTGTTTTTTATCAGGTGATATAAAATGAAAAGCTTCCCTCCATACCCCTGTCTCATCAGTGTGATCAACAGTACTGGGGTGAATTTCCCTTCATCTCTGCATTGCCACTGCCTTAATGATATTTTGGGAAAATTAAAAAAGTCTGCAATGATCCCCATTACGAAACATCCAGGTCAGTTTAAAAGTCTAATTTTCTATTTCAAATGTGAAAGTTTTCATAACCCGTCTCACTGTCCAGATCTGTGGCTTACAGGACTCAATGGACGTGGGGAAGGAGAATTAGCTTTCTCTCTAATTGTCTTTCTCTGTCTAGCCCTTCGGGGTTGGGGATAGGGAATGAGGAGAGGGTCTCTAGATAACTTCTGGGGTTCTAGTACTTTCTGATGGTTGTGAATTGCTTCTGTGGGTTAACATAATCAGGAGTCTGAATCCACTCCCAAGTTTTGGTAATATGTTAGCAGTTTGCTTTAGAACGTGAGACTATTTCATTTAAAAATTAAAATAAAAATCTTGGGCCTTATTTACCAGTTTAAGTTTAATAGGAAAAGTCCTACTTAGCAGCCTATTTCACCCCCTTCTCCAACAACCGTAACATAAAACATAACATAGCAAACACAACATAACATAACATAACATAACATAACAGAACAGAACAGAACAGAACATAACCATGAACTAGTAACAACAACAAATCAGTAAAGATTTTTGACATTATCTGAACAATGTTTTCAGGTTTATCTTACAGTACAGTAATGTTGAGAGGAGACCTTGGAAATGGGAGTCCACTTGTGAAACTATTGCAGAAGCATGGCTAAGAAGTAATGATTATGAGTCTTGTGGAGAAAAAAAATTGATAATGTTGGGGAGGAAGAGTAAATTGTTACTGTAAAGTTTGGAGTCCCAGTAATCAGGAGAATAAAGGTATTTGAGGCAGAAAGAGAAAAGCCAGTACTATATCTACAGGGGAAGATGATAAGTAACACAAATATCCAGTCAACAATAAAAAATAAATTTAAAAAATACGACATTAAAATAAATAAATAAATAATACAGCATTAAAATGAAAGCAAAAGTATAAAATCAATTTGTTTTCAAAGATTATAATCAAACAGATAGGAAAGTGTTATATTTTAAAGGGGTTGTATTTTAAAATGCAGAGTTCAGTCCTGATGGTGGCTTCAGTTTCACAAAAATTTTGTTGGAAAATTTGATGTTTCCTTGAATGGAAAGCTCCAAAAATTTGAACTATTTTCAACCAGGAACACTGTCTATAAAATAGCTGACTCCCTTTAGGACAAAAGATATGTTTTCTGCCCCCATTCTAACAGGATTTTCAAGCCTTGGGGGCACAATACATTAATAGTCATGTAACCTCCGAGTATTCAAGAGGAAATGTGTCTTGTTAGTGGAATGTGTGTATTCTAGAATTAGGAAACTGGAGATTCTAGATGATTTTCATCTCTCTAATAATAAATTAGCTTTACTTTCTTTTATCATTCAGCTTTAAATTCTAAGTTTTTTTTTTTTTTTTTTTTTTTTAGTCACAGTAATTAAGGGCTGGGGGACTGTCCTAAGAAGGTAACAAATACCTCTTTATGTCTATTGCAAATGCTAAAGCATCCATCATTAAAAGATGAAAGAAAAGATGTTTTCCAATTTATAAATGTATACTTGGCTTGTTTTTTTTTTTTTTTTTTTATACTTACCCGAGGACATTTTTCCATTTTTTTTGTTCAGACAGAGTGGGAAGGAGAGAGACAGAGAGAGAAACTTTGATGTGAAAGGGACACATAGAGTGGCTGCCTCCTGCATAACCCAACCAGGGCCGGGGACAAACTGCAACCGAGGTACGTGCCCTTAGTGGGAACCAAACCCGGGTCTCTGTATATGCAGGCCGACGCTCTAACCGCGGAGCCGGCCAGGGCTACTTGCTTGTTCGATTAAGACAAGAATCTGTAAAGGGAAGTAATCATTTCTTCTCCACCCACTCTCCTCACTGAAGTCATCGATGTTTACAGCCTGCTCTGTATTCCTTCCCTACTTTCCCCCCAGCTTATACAATTGTATGTAAACATCACACATTTCTACTGGTTTTATTTGTTTTTACCAATAAAAATTCTGCTATACATATTACTTTGCAAAGAACTTATTTCTTAAAAATGAACATTCCTTCAAGTCTGTCATTTTTCTATGCATACATTTTTATAATTTTACATAAATAGGATCATAGCATATGTGCTGATAATTCTAGGAGCCTTCCTCCTCTCCTGTTTTTCCCTCCCCCTCCTCTCTCTCCTCCTCCGCCCTCTGCCTCCACACCCCTGGTATACCTGTGTGTTTCTGTTTTCTCTGTACTCTTGACCTCTGGACCATACACATGCAGACACACAGAGACATTCTCATAGTTTTAGTCATATCTTTGGCCCATTAACATTTTTCATTTTTTCTTCGCTGGTCAATTTGTAGAGCTCTTTGTATGTTGTAGATATTAAACTACGTTGGTATTTGAAAACACGTTTTCATATAAATTATTTGTTGTTTGCCTTTTGCGTGACAAAATGACAAGTTCTTTTTCACTGCTGTCATTGTTGGTGCTCTGTTGCACAGGAAAGCCCACTAGTATGTTTCTCTTACACAGCACCTGAGGCTCCCAGGTTGGTTAAGAAGGTATCTTTCTGTGCTAGGCTGTACATGTGCATCCTAGATTTCCTTTGAAGTTTGTATTCTTTTTTACACTAAATTCTTTTATCCATCTGGAATTTATTTTTGATGTGGTGGGAAACAGTCCAACTTCCTTTGCTTCCAGATGGAAAGCTAGTTGTGCCAGTACCATGTTAAAATGCCATTCTTTTTTCCAATAAAGTGAAATATTCCTTGTGCCATATATTACATTAACAAATATTGGGACCTTTTCTAGAATCTAGTTCTCTTCTTTCCGTGGATGTATTTTTCAATTTCTATGCCGAGACCATATTAATTTCACTCTAACAGCTTCAGAGCATGTTGTTGTCTGGTCATGGAAGTCTCCCTTCCCCATATTCTTATTTTTCATAGTTTTCTTGTTTACACTAGATTTTCTTGTTTCTTTTGTCAAATGGACTTTATTTTACACAATCTTCTCCCCCACCCCAAATTTAGTATTTTCATTAAAATTCCATTAAATGAGTTTATTAACTTCAGGAAAACAGACATTTTAATAATATTGTCATCCCTCTGCAAGGAGGGTTGATCAACCCATCTAAATGTTTTAGTACTTGCATATCATCTGGCTCTGGCATGTCTATAAGTAGGCTAAGCAGAACCACATGATTTATCTGTGAACTAAAGCCATCTGCTGAAGAAACAGAGAACCTCCTAATACTCTATATTATACTTCGGTTGGCTCTGTGTTGGCTTTCACCTGTAGTACAATCGACATAATTATTGTTAGCAATGGTTTTTTTTCCATAATCCTACCAGACTGTTTTCTTTTAAAAAATTTTTTCTTTATTGATTTTAGAGAGAGAGGAAGGGAGAGGGAGAGAAAGAAACATCGATTGGCCACCTCCTGCATGTGCCCCACTGGGGATTGGGCCCACAACCCGGGCATGTGCCTCAACTGGGAATCGAACTGG